ACCGCTCCTGGTTTCCGCAGTTTCTGATTTTTCTGAGGTGTGGGGCTACCCTTGCCGCTAGCGTCGCCGTCGCCGGGCCAGGACCTTCAGAAAGAGTGCACCAGCAGGCGGAAGGACCAAGGCAGTGCCTCAGGTCGCCCGGAAAAAATAAAATAAAAAACTTTTTGGTGGGAAGGCGGCGAGTGAATGTGGCAGGCAGGCAGCCAGACCAGACCCGACCAGCCCAAGCCAACTGAGGCGACGCTGGATCTGCCACACCTGCGAGGGGACACCCATGGGTCCGCCTGAGTGGCCTCGAGTGGCCCTCGTTCAGTGGGAATGGAGGGGGAGGAGGGGGCAAGAGCGATAACACAAGCCAGAAAAGCGATTGCAGATAAAAAAAACTCGTCCCCCCGCCATCTTCTCCCCCCTCCCGAATATTTTTTTCCTCCTCTTCCTCTCTCGAACCTCTCTCTACCTCCGTTCCCTTTTCTTCCTCTCCTGGATTGTTCGTCTTCCTCCAGACGTATCTCCACTCAGTCCTTTGACTTTCTTTTTCACAAAACATCGTCACTGTCTGCGACGGTTGTCAAGAGCTTTGCTGCCCTGATCAACCCCCGCCTTCGCAAGAAGAAACAACAGCGACCGAAGCGCCATCTAGAGCAGAAGTTTCCGACGATCCTCCAGTCGTCGTCTCTTCTCGCGGGCCTTCCCAGTACCCAGAAATCGCCTTTCGGTTATACGATAGAGCATAGACTTCGCATCTAGACGCTTTAGACGTTCGGATCTGCGATTCTTTCACACCAAATTTCGACATCACTCCGATCGAGATTAATACCCCCCAACAACCGCCATAATGTCTTCCGAGAACGCCCAGTCCGTCAAGGTTCTTGACGAGCTCTTCCAAAAGCTCACCGTCTCCAAGGAGGCTGCCGACGTCAAGGAGTCTGCCAACGCCCTGGCTTCTTTCATGAACGGCCGCATCGAGGACCAGGATGTTCCCACCAAGTGAGTTTTTCTGTCCCCAAACTCCCGCTTCCGTCCCCTATACACCGCGGCGACGAAGTGTCGGCACGAGAAGAGTCGGAGAAGAGTATGGCAGATGTGCCCCAAGCCACCGTGTCCGCGGCCTTGGGACCCTTCTCCAACTTTTTCAGACTTTTTTTCCTGCGTGCTTATTTTTTTTTTCGCCTCGTCTCGGGCGGCCTTTGCACCGACCCGCCAGCATCTGCAAGTTGGCTGTACCCCCTGGCCACTCAGCGGCGAGCTATTTTCGGTTCACACACAAAAATTTTCTGGAGCATCAGAACTGACATGGATTACCCCGCAGGAGCATCGAGTCCATCCGCAAGCTGTTCAACAACAAGAAGGATGCCGCTGCCCGTGAGAAGGCCGCCCTTGCCATCGCCGCCATCGCCCAGCACTCCGAGGTCTCTGCCCACGTCGAGCCCTTCCTTGTCGCCCTCCTCCCCAACGTCCTCGCCGCCGTTGGTGACAAGATCACCGGTGTCAAGAATGCCGCCCAGGCTGCTGCCCTGGCCATCGCCGAGGCCATCAACCCCAACGCCGTCAAGGGTGTCTTCGAGCCCGTCTGCAACTCCCTCCTGAACGCCCAGAAGTGGCAGGAGAAGATGGCTGCCCTCGACGTCCTCGAGACCGTCGTCCGCACCGCCCCCGCCCAGGTCGCTTTCCGCGTCCCCGACCTCATCCCCGTCGTCTCCGAGTCCATGTGGGACACCAAGAAGGAGGTCAAGGAGCGTGCCTACAAGACCATGGAGCTCATCTGCCAGCTCATTGTCAACAAGGATATCGAGCGCTTCATCCCCGAGCTTATCAAGTGTATCGCCAAGCCCGAGAACGTTCCCGAGACCGTTCACTTGCTCGGTGCCACCACCTTCGTCACTGAGGTCCAGGAGCCCACTCTTGCCCTCATGGTTCCCCTCCTTGACCGTGGTCTCGCTGAGCGTGAGACTGCCATCAAGCGTAAGTCCGCCGTCATTGTCGACAACATGTGCAAGCTCGTCGACGACCCCAACATCGTTGCTCCTTTCTTGCCTAAGATGATGCCCGGTCTTGAGAAGAACCACGACAACTTGGCCGACCCCGAGGCTCGTGAGAAGACTCGCCAGGCTCTCGACACCCTCATCCGTGTCGGTAACGTCGTTGACGGCAAGATCCCCGAGGTCAAGCGCGACTCTGACGTCAAGGTCGTCCTCCCCAAGCTCAAGGAGGTCATCCCCGCCAAGCACAAGGCCAAGGCTGAGAAGCTCGAGATCGTCCTTGAGTACGCTGCCGCCATTGCCGGCCAGCTCATCGACGAGAAGGAGCAGGAGTCTCAGGTCTGGGCCGAGGCCCTCAAGCCTTACATCGCCGTCATTGTTGGCGACGAGGATGCCCAGAAGGTCACTGACGACCTCCGCAAGAAGGCTTCCCCCGGCGCTGCCGAGGAGGCTGAGGGTGATGCTGACGACGAGGAGGGTGAGGACCTTTGCAACTGCACCTTCTCTCTCGCCTACGGTGCCAAGATTCTGCTCAACCAGACCCACCTCCGTCTCAAGCGTGGCCAGCGCTACGGTCTTTGCGGTCCCAACGGTTCCGGCAAGTCTACTCTCATGCGTGCCATCAACAACGAGCAGGTCGAGGGTTTCCCCAAGCAGAACGAGGTCAAGACCGTCTTCGTTGAGCACGACCTTGACTCTGCTGACACTGAGATGACCACCATTGACTGGACCATGATGAAGCTGAAGACTGCCGGCGTCGAGACCGCCCAGTCCGAGGTCGAGTCCAAGCTGAACGAGTTCGGCTTCACCGACGCCATGGTCAAGGGTGAGATCTCTGCCCTCTCTGGTGGTTGGAAGATGAAGCTCGCTCTGTGCCGTGCCGTCTTCGAGGCCCCTGATATCCTGCTTCTCGACGAGCCTACCAACCACTTGGACGTGAAGAACGTCAAGTGGCTCGAGGAGTACCTCTGCACCTCCCCCTGCACTTCCATCATCGTCTCCCATGACTCCGGCTTCCTCGACAACGTCTGCCAGCACATCATCCACTACGAGCGCTTCAAGCTCAAGCGCTACCGTGGTAACCTGTCCGAGTTCGTCAAGAAGAACCCCTCTGCCAAGTCCTACTACGAGCTCGGTGCCTCCGAGATTGAGTTCCGCTTCCCCGAGCCCGGTTTCCTTGAGGGTGTCAAGACCAAGGCCAAGGCCATTCTCCGTGCTAGCAAGATGTCCTTCCAGTACCCCGGCACCAGCAAGCCCCAGATCTCCGACATCACCTTCCAGTGCTCTCTCGGTTCCCGTATTGCCGTCATTGGCCCCAACGGTGCCGGCAAGTCAACCCTCATCAACGTCCTCACTGGTGAGCTCATCCCCACCGAGGGTGAGATCTACCAGCACGAGAACATCCGTATTGCCTACATCAAGCAGCACGCTTTCGCTCACATCGATAACCACCTCGACTCCACTCCCTCCGAGTACATCCAGTGGCGTTTCCAGACTGGTGAGGATCGTGAGACCATGGATCGTGCCAACAAGGTCATCACCGAGGCCGATGAGGAGGCCATGAACAAGATCTTCAAGATTGAGGGTACCCAGCGCCGCATTATCGGCATCAACTCTCGCAGAAAGTTCAAGAACTCCTACGAGTACGAGTGCTCTTTCGCCATTGGTGACAACGTCGGCCAGAAGAACGAGCGCTGGACCCCCATGATGTCCGCTGACAACGCCTGGCTGCCCCGTTCCGAGCTTCTGGCTTCTCACCAGAAGATGGTTGCCGATGTCGATATGAAGGAGGCCCTCGCCTCCGGTCAGTTCCGTCCTCTGGTCCGTAAGGAGATTGAGTCTCACTGCGCCAACTTTGGTCTCGATGCTGAGCTGGTTTCCCACTCTCGCATGCGTGGTCTGTCTGGTGGCCAGCGTGTCAAGGTCGTCCTTGCCGCTTGCTCTTGGCAGCGTCCCCACTTGATCGTTCTTGACGAGCCTACCAACTACTTGGACCGTGACTCTCTCGGTGCCTTGTCTAAGGCTCTCAAGGCCTTCGAGGGTGGTGTCATCATCATCACTCACTCTGCCGAGTTCACCAAGGACTTGACTGAGGAGGTTTGGGCTGTCATGGACGGCAAGATGACTCCTTCCGGCCACAACTGGGTCCAGGGCCAGGGTGCCGGTCCCCGTCTCAAGGCTGACGACGGTGATGAGGAGGAGAAGTTCGATGCCATGGGTAACAAGATTGTCAACACCAAGAAGAAGGTCAAGTTGACTTCTTCCGAGGCCCGTAAGAAGAAGAAGGGTACGTTTATCCCAGCTATGACCTGATTCAAACACATTACTAACTATATCTGCAGAGCGTATGGCCCGCCGCAAGCGTGGTGAGGAGGTCTTCTCCGACGAGGACGACATCTAAACCAACTCGTCACGGTCGCTTTCCTTTCCATTTGTCACGAGCCTTCCAAAAGTCTTTTCGGTAACGCGGGTTGCATGGTTACGGGCCTGTTTATGATTTCTTTGACGAGCACCCATGAGATTCCCCTTTGACATGAATCGCCGGATGAAGGAATGACCATCTCGCTCCAGGATTGGAGGATCCTGCAGGCGAGGAGAGAGGTTCCTGGCGACAGGGAATGTGGGGTAGAATAAGAGGTAGAAAGAGTAAATAGACGGCAATACATGCCATAGACATTTCACAATGGTTCCTTTGAAGTGATGTGCTGGTGATGCTGTCTCTGGTGTATGGATTCTCTGTTGATGCTTCAGGTTTGGTGTACCGCAAGCGCGAGCACAGTCCCCGTCCTCCCTTTACCATGCGGCCCTCGACAGTGATTGTTCCTCGGCGTGCTTATCATTGTCGTTCCTCTATCTGCAGTGGCTATTTACGTGCCTGCATTCGAGTTCCCCTGGTTGCATTTAGCCGAGTCAGCATCGCTTCACATTGTCTTCGGTTAGGCTTGTATGCTCACAAACATTGCCATCTGCGTCTTTGTTTCTGAAAAGCAAACATTGTGCAACGCCCAAGAACAGTGGTTTTCAGCGTCTTTTCCGAGTCCGTCTGCAGCCCTTTTTCCCAACGACGGTCCACCCGTCAGGTTGTACGTCCTCCATGACAACATCCCCATCCACTGATTGCGGTTTTTGGTTCAACAAAGGAAGCTCGATCGCCTCAACTCTGCCTTTCCCACCCGCGCCACCAAACCCCCCTCTCGTGTCCCCTCGCGCCCGCATCTTCGGAGACGCCTGCGTCGGCCTGACGTCGCTCTTCGGACCGGGAGACGCTGCGTCGCCCTGCAGTGCCCTCGCCCAGTTCATCTCGACCTTGGCTGCTTTGATGATCTTGGGGAAGTGGCCGGGGGCTGGGGCGCGGGGGACGCTTTGAACGTCGGTCTTCCAGCGGGGCTGGCTCGTGCCCGGGTTGGGTTGTCGGTGGTCGTGGGATGCGATGATACGGTGGCGGCAGGAGGTTTGTAGCCATGTTCGCAACTCGGTGTCCTCGGGGGATGAGGTCAGGGTTTTGCCGGCACGGGTAAGGAGGGATGAGGTGAGTGGTGATGGGGAGGTGTATCTGATGAACGCTGTGGTATGTCAGTGACGGGATTCAAGGCGTGAGTGGGTTGGGAGATGTGTACAAGTCATGTTGTAGATGGACGTCCCGTCAGAGACGTACGCCTCGCGGAAACCTAGATCTGTTTCTTTGCCGTCAAACTCCCGCAATGTGTCCTGCGTCATGGGAAACTCTTCGGGAGTTGGTGCGATTTTGGCGACGATGAAGTCGCGCGTGTCATGGAGCTTGGTCAACACCCAGTGCGGGCTCTGTGCCTCGAGGTGTGGTGTGCAATCTGTGCCCCAGTATGGTCCCAGGTCGTTCAGTGCCTGGGTTTGCTCGGGCTTGATGTCTACAAGTTGTGACTATTAGTATCCATCAACGTGACTTGGATGAAGGTTATGATGGGAACTCACTCTCCCGCCCAAAGACACAGTCCCGAATCCGGATCTGTGACGACGAGAGCGGTTCGGCCGGCGACTGCTCCGGCACGACGCGTCCGATCTTCAACTCCTCCAGCGCGGCGTGTACGTCTACCCCGGAGACAGATGCACCATGCCCGTGGGCTTGCCTCCAGGCTGCGGTGGCGTCTTGGCCGGCGAGCTGGGAGATGAGGGACGCGCCGCCGGGGTGCATGTCGCAGTATCCTGCCCCGAGTCAGCCCTGCTTTGTATCTCGCATATCTTGATAACATTACCTGTGAAATCGTACACGCTGCCGTTGATGACAACGTACATCCCCGTCTCGCGGGCCGCGAACCACTTCACCTCGCCGGGCATGAACACGCGATCTCGCCGCCGCGGGCCAGACACCTCGTCGCGCAGCCAGCCGATCTTGCACGGGAGGAGGCTGGCGCGGATCAGGTCTGGGTGGAAGCCGGCGTCGATTGCGTCGACGGGGTTTCGGGTGCGGGAGAGGATGTGGTGGAGGGTGTGGAGGTCTGGGGGAAGGTGCAGGTCTGCGTTCTGTGTAAGTAGAGGTCCAATGAGAAGGGATGGAACTTACTTGTGATGTCGAAGACTTCGGCTCCGAGCGCAATCCATTTTGGTCTGCCCTCATTGCCGTCGTTGATGCAGACGTCTTCTTCTTGGCGCCAGAGCATTGCCTGGCCGAGTGGTTCTTGGCTGAGGGCTTGGGAGAGGATGTCATTTGCGAGGTTTGGACGGAGCATGCGTCCTCGCAGACCGGGAACAGTGAAGGTGTCTCTGGCATCCGAGTCCCAGCCGTCGGGAAACATCTCGCTGACATCGTAGACCTGGATCTCTGTATCGTCTTCGTCCTGCCACAAGACGACCTTTTGCCCTGCTCCTAGCGACTGGAGGTCTCCAATCTCGCCAGGCGAGTAATACTTGATGACAGTCCCGATAACCTCCTCTCCACCAATGCCAGACCTTGCAATAGCCCAGCTAGGCAAGTCTGCATCTTCCTCATCAACCCGCTCATCCTCATACCCAACCGGGAAGAACACCTCCCCGCTGTACTCCGGCATCCGGAATCCGAAGTCCAACCAAACATCATCCAAGGGGAACTGGTCCATCTTCACTCTCAACTCCCTCGTCGCAGCTTCAAACTCCCGAACAAGCTCCCCAGACACAAAACCGCCCCATTTCCATCTCAAAAACGCAACCCTCGCATTATCAAAACACATCTCCCGATCATGACTCTTCCCCCAAGCCCGCCCAACCACCTTCCTCCTCTCCCTCTCCTTCTTGCCCCTTCCCCGCCGAATGACCTCCTCAAGAAACCCTCGCGGCGCCGCGAACTCCGATCCATGGACCAGAACCTCCGGATACGCCGGCACGCTCTCGTCCTCCCACGAGTACACACCTCGCCTCACCGGCACCGCAGCCATCGCAAGAAACCCAACCGCCCGCCAGAAGCCCTGTCCGCTCCTCTCACCCTCGATCGTCGTCCCGCAGACTTTCTCGTCAACTCCAAACGGGGATATCATCTTCTTCGCAGCAGCGATAACCCCAGCTTCGCACTTGACACTCCTCCCAATCCCTTTGATCCCCGGCACCCAGCTGCGCATCTGAAACTCCGCAAACGGCGTCTCGCTCCACTTGCGATACTCGCACGCATACCACGGCCTCAACATCTTCAACCTCCCCCTCCGCTCCCTAATCCTCCCCCCAAACCCAGCATCATCATCAAGCACACGCGCCCTGCGCACCGTATACCCCCTCGCCTTCGAGTACTCCGCCCTCGCAACACTCACACCCCCCTTAACTTTCACCCCCTCCGCCCCAAACTTCCGCACCCTCACCCCCCAGAAGTCCTCGCGGGTCATCTCCCACAGCACCCGCCCCGGCACGCCCGCGCGCTCCTCGACGAACGGGTCGGAGGGCGCCCAGCCGCCGTAGTACTGGAACTGCCCCGCGGCGGCGGTTTCGGGGCGCGGAGCAAGCAGGGCGTGGTAGGCTTTGCGGCGCGAGCGGGAGCTGGGCCAGGTGTTGCGGAGGACGGTGCCGAGGAAGGCGGTTTCGAAGGAGTAGCCTGCTTCGGCCCAGCGTTCGTTGTTGAAGAACTGTGCGGGTTAGCTTTGGGTTGGGATGGCGGGGGGAGGGAACGCACGAGTTCGAAGGAGGGGCAGTTGTGCGCTGGGTTTTGGGATTTGATGGAGGTGAGGATGTGTCTTGATATTGCGTGCTACAGATGGTTAACAGATCTGGTTTAGGTATGGAGGCTGGGGGAGCAAACCATAAGTTCATGCAACATCTAGGACGAGATTCACATTAGATTGCGTACGAAAGAGATGATTGAACAGAGTACGTACAATAATAGCAACCTCAACACCAGCAACCCTCCTCTCCCCCTCCGTCCCTTCACACATCCTCTCAACCAGCCTCACATCCACCGTGCACCAGTGATACCCCCGCCCCTCACTCACAATCGTGTCCGTCTTGCCCAAAAGGCCCGGCGCCTCATCCCCATGATGAAACCCCCAAAACACACTCCCAGCAATCTCATCCAACACCTGCACAGCCTGAGCACGTGCTTCATGCGTAACCGGACCAGGAACCACGCGGTAGATCGTCGCGTTGGCGTACCTCCGCCCATCAACCGTCACCGAGACCCCATGCACCGCCTCACGCCCCGCCGCGCTCAGCATCGCGAGCAGCCAGCGGTGCGAGAGCGCCTGCTGCAGCATCCTGTCCGCGAGCTCGATTGCGGGGGCAATGCGGCTCCACGCGGCGTCATCGTCGATGTGTAAAGGCCTGTTGGCGATGTGGCAGGCAGTGCTGGCCCACCTGCTGCGGTGGAAGATGTTGTGCCATTTTGCTTCATTGACGTGTATGAAGCCATCGGTTGGGGAGGGCGACGAGGAGTAGGGGTCGAGGTCTTGGAGGATGAGGGATTCCGAGGTGCGTAGGCCGCTGAGGTTGAAGAGCTGGCCGTGTTCGGCGTGGAAGAGGGTGTCGAGGGCGGGCGGGGGAGGGCAGGGGAGGGGGATGGGAGTTTGGAGGAGGGAGGTTGCGGTTGGGGATAAGGGGGGATGGGTGGGAATTGTGAAGGGGAGTTCTGTGTCGTCCATTGCGGGTGGATGAACAGGATGGAAGAGGCGCTTGAGGATGACGGTGATGCTTGAGATATCCGGTTCATGGCGACGACATGGTTTTCAGAGAATGATGAAGGTTGGGCGGGAACTGGGATGCCATGCTGCGGTCAATTTTGTCGATGACTTCAACATTGACGATTAAGACAGAAAAGAAACTGGCAGAAACATCTCATTCAAGTTTGAGATTATCAGATTCATCACCAGAAACTTTGCCTCGGTGAATACCTGGAAAGGGATGTTGCGCCCATTGTTTCTCGGCCTCGCCCTCGTTTTCTTTGTCGCTCATCTCCCTGCCATATTCCCCAGCATTGACATTTCAAGGTCCCAAACAAACCCCTGAATACCTCTTGTTCTGTCTGTGCTTTTTCGACGGTTTCGTTCCATTGAAAGCTATTTTTCGAAGTCCATTGAAATCGACCACAAAGGGCGGTTGTGTCAATGTCGTAGCTGCTCTGGACTTCTTCAACCTCGTCTGGGAGTTGAAAGGGGGCGTGATGCCCGGTCATCAACCTTTGGTTCGATCTCTTTCTCTTCCAAACCTTGATTCTCCAGTTTCTTTTCCTTCAGTGTATTGCGACGTGTTTTCGACCGTTCGCAGCTCCCAATCTTGTTCCTTTCGCATGTTCTTCGACTCCCATAACCGCCAGATGCCAACATGAACAACAACCGCGTCGACCCATGGAAGAAGCACTATGTCACGGGCACCCTCCCGCAGCTCAACAACGACAGGCTATCATGGCTGGATCCCATGTTCCCCTCAATGGACCCCCTCACGCTGCAGCTCGACCCGCCCAGCACCAACGCGCTCCCGAAGCCGTCGCCGGCCGAGCTCGACGACCTCTTCCTGTCGGAGCGTCTGCAGAAGCACTTCATGTACGGCCTGACGACGTGGGAGGCCGCGATTCTGGCCAGCGCCGAGGACTACACGGCGTACGGCGAGAGCGACCACACCACGGCCAACGACCTGCACGTGGACGAGGATTCGTGGCTGCGCGTGTGGCAGAAGTACCGCTGGAGGATCGACTTTGTGCAGCAGAATCACTGGACCGGGAATGCGGGTAGGAACTGGACGGTGGATAACCCGTTTCTGTGGAAGGAGCTGTCGAAGTGCATTCAGCTGGCGGATAATATCTTGCGGGTGTCTGCGACAGAGCCATGGTGAGTGCAAGTTGCAACAGACCTCCGGATAGATCTGACCGCGATTTAACATTGTTGTGACCCAGGCTGCGCATGTTACTATCCAAAGACGGCCTCGAATCTGTCAAAGTCGAAGTGCCGTATGGCTCTAAAAATTGGGAGCAAATCTGGCGCGTCAAGAACGACACCTCATTCATGACAACCACACAAGCAGTGCTCGACTTCTTCGAGGACCCAGAGTTCTACACGGCCATTCTATGGGCTTTCAAAGACCACTCTACCAACTTTGTCGCCTCAGAGAATGGCTCGGCCGAAGTTGGGACGACCCATCAGACCTACAATGCGCATCGCAGGCTGTCGCCAATCACCTTGGATATCGTGTATTTGCAGACGATGCTTGACCCGTCCGCTACAGCGGTGTCAAAGAGGCTGGCCCTGCATCTTCAGGCTCTTACTGTATGTCTACCGAGGTGAAAGAGGCGTTTTGCTGAGTCGTGCTAACTTGGATGGAAAGATTGTACACGAACTCATGGTGAGTGATGGGATGATACTGAATTTGGCAACCGAACTAACATTCACCAAGCACGCGGTCAACCTAGAAATTCGAAGCAGACCTAATCCCGGATTGAAGCAACCAACGCTCACCTTAGGCGGGCATGCAAAACATGAAATTGTAACATCAACCATGTCCATGATTCCGCATACCTCGGTACTGACACGTCCCAGTTCGGAGCCAGGGAATATTACCCCGAGATGGGCCACTCCTGGGAAGGGTCGGCTCTCGGCGGCTCCCTCTTCGGCATCGAGTCCCTCGAGACCGGGTCCCATTACAGGAACTCCAACGCAGCAGGCATCATCGCCGGCCTCGCCGTATGGCCGAACATCAACAGCCACACCTGGCACGAGACGTACGGCATCGCCCTCTGCATCCCCTCGTACCGTACAACCTGGCCAGCCCCGGCCCTATGGGCCACCTCGTTCCGCTCGGGCGAATTCTGGAACAGAATCGTGCCCAAATACGGGCCCGGCGCCCTCAAGATGCCCAAGCCTCTTGTCGACGTCACCATCGAAGACGCTCCGTTCAAATCCGCCGGCGGCGCCGTGCCATCGCAGGCGAGGTGGGTGATGGGCTATATCCCGCCTGAGTGGCATCGCAAGTCGCTGGGCACTCTGGCGCGGCGGCTCACTTCCCGTCGTCGGGCATACCAGACAAGGAGGCCATGGTTCCCGGACACGTTCGCGATGTGGCAGATGACGCCCTGGAGCTGGACCGACTTCCGCCGCGAGCTGAACATAGCGCTTACCATCCACTTCGTCCGCAGGGGCCTCGTCGACCAGTTGGACCTGCAGGGCATGATCGCCAGACTCATCCACCCGCTCGTGATTGGCGTCAAGTTCCCCGAGGGCAGGGTGAGTATGCAGATCCCGCCCGGCTTCGAGCACGTCAACAAGGAATGTGCCGTGCAGGCGTGGTTCTTCCGCGCGATCGGCATCCTCATGATCGCCGCTCTGCCCGCGCACGACGGGGAGGTGGTGCCGGAGAGGGAGCCCTCGCATTACAGCAACCCCAACCCGTGGAAGATCAAGGCCAGCGTGGCGACAACGCTGAACAGCGCTGAGCGGTCGGACCTGTCGGCGGCGATGAGGTATCTGTACAGGAACAGACACAAGTACGACGGCTTCCGGATGGATAAGAGGCATCACGCCCCGGACCCGCCTAAGAACAGGCTGAACCTGCGCCGCGACTTGATCGAGCTGGCGGTGTGCTGCTGGGATGCGTTCGAGGCAGTCTGCGATCTGCCTTTAGGGCTGCGCGGTGCTTTCTTCGCCACTGTGAACGACATGACTGCGCAGCTGAAGGCGGACGTGGGCAATGATTACAGATCATGGCTTGACTTCAACTTCCGCATGCCGGAGTACGCTGGTGTATGGGAGAATGGGCGAGCGACTGGGTTGGAAAAGTTCAAGGAGGTGCTCAAAGATGGATGGGACGCCATGAGCCCGGCGTTCGGAGAAGAAGCTGCTTTGCGATTCAACGGGGAGCCAGTGAAGGACCCCGGCCACATCGAAATTGAACCGACCTGGGCCATCGGATGCGTGGGTATCGCGGGTGACGTTGTTCCGGTTGACCAGCGTCCCGGAAAAGGCGACTTCAAATACTTTACCGCAAGCCAGATATACGACCAAGCGATGAAAGAGGGGACGCCTGTGCTCATTGCTGAAGAAGGGATTCACCTGAACATCTTCCTCGTTTCGGATGTCAAGGAACTCCTGGGCAACATCACTGAGGAGCAACTGAACACCATCACGTCAAAGGAGTTCAACGGCCAACAGCTGAAGCCCGAAGCTGTGAAACTACTAAGACAGGCTGCTCCCAACCTTGTGCCGCTGGGAAGGGCGATGAGAATCTGGAGAGAGGACGAGATCGCCCTGTGCGATGGGACGAACGGCTACCCCTTTTGCGTCCGGATCGCGGATAGCATTTTTGACCTCACTGGTGCGTGTGAACCATTCCTTTGCTGGGTGTCTGATGCTGACCTCTTGAAAGATGTTGATTACCTGGACAATGCTGGCCCCGACAAGCGCGTCAATGTCCTGGAAATCCTCAGGTCGACGCCGGGTGGCAACCCTTCCCAGAAGCTATTGCAGGCTGGAGTCTTCCCCCGTAATGTTAGCGATCAGATCTCTCGATATCGCATTGGATATGTGAATTCCAAGGTGCCCAGAGCCACCCACAGGCATCATGAGAGGACGTTCACGGAGAAGACGCTGCGTCGCTACGAGCTCGTGGATTCCAGCATGTATGTTGCCATCCAGGACAAGGTGTACGACATCACAAGTGAGACCGCCACTCTTCATTTGGGAGAGTCAGAATATTGACAGTTACAAATCTCAGACTACGTTATGCTCCACCCCGGAGGCGAAAGGCTCTTGGTCGAGAACGGGGGAAAAGACATTACCGAGCTATTCAACAAATATCACCCCAAATCCAAGGACGAATTGATAGAATCATTGCAAGCCGTGCACATTGGCAGGATGGTTGAGAACCGTTCCGAGACAGTCCTTCTCGACGGACTGCCGTCGCCAGAGGTTGTGCATCATGACGAGATCCTGATTCGCAATGAGATCTACTCAGTGCGAGGTAAGCAGCCTCATCATTCATATGACGAGAGTCATCAACTAACACTTTGTTCTTGTCAGCTCTCATCGACTCGGCAGAGAACTACCGCTTGGTCGAAGCACTCAGGCCCTACCTGGGCAAAGACGCCACCCAAGCGCTTGCGGCCGAGGACGACGACGAGGGTCCTCTGACAACGTTTGCGCGTATGAAGGGCTTCATCGTGGCAATGACCGACTGTCAAAAGACCGAGCTTCGCAACATGTCAATCCCGGAGCTGAGAGGTTTCGACGGACTGGAGGACCGCCTGGCTTATGTTGCTGTAGATGGCTTGATTTACGATGTGACAGGTATGCCAGAAGTTACATGCTGTCTCTGGATGGTCAACTGACACTGTCCAGATGTGATTGACTTTGGCCACAATAATCGGAACTACGAGAATTTGCGTAACTACGTGGGTCACAGTATCCAGAGCGACGACGGCTTGGCCGATTACGTGAAGAACAACTGCGAGCACCGGCTCTGTGCCAGGTTAGTCGATTTCAGACACGCAGACAGTGGAGCCGAAAAGTTCATCTGGAATGCCAAGAGATGGCGACCGAGTAAGTTGAGTCTTTCCATCGAAAGCGACATCTTCCTAATTGAATCTCTCTAGTGGAGAACTACCCGCCTCTTTGGGGTTACAGACCCCCGAACCCTCCCTCGCCACCACAACCCGACGAAGTCGCGCCTTACCCATACTTTCAGATGTTGGAGGACAAGTACGGCGTGCAGGACTTCTTCGACGGCCCTGACGCCAACACCGCCGGCGAGGTGCTCGATTCCCTCGTCAACCCAGCCGGTGGCTATGAGGCGGACTCTGACGACTCGGACTCCGCCCAGACCGTCTACGCGGTGCAATCGTACCAGCCTGTCATGGCTTCGCGATATGGAAGGAACAGGGGCAAGACGGACGTCAAACGCCGGCTTAAGGAGAAGCACAGGATTCAGCGGCTGCGTGGGAAGAAGACGCCTGGAATTAGGCCAAGGCCGGATGATGGCAGCGTGGGTGTCGAGGAGAGTGTGTGTTCGAAGCGTAAGGTTCATTTTGCGAAGGAGGATGGGCCTGAAAAGAGGCGGAAGATCTTCGAATACAGCACTGAATAGGTATAAAAGAATGGTGGCGTCGTAAATATGTTAAAATTTGTAGCTTAAGTTGGGGCGTTTATGCGATACGGATCTTATTGTTCGACTCTTGTCTTTTTTTTTCCTCACGTTGCTAAATACTCCGGTTTCGTTTGTATCATTCTATCCTATGACCTGTCTGAACCTAATCGTCGACACGCTTAAACCAAACGAGCGGCCCATCACCTGCCGGGGTACCCTCAAGGACATTCTCCAGCCTGAGATCCAGGCCAAGCTCAGTTACCGTGCCGGTAACATCTACCTTGAACTCCGCCCTCATACAGATAGAAGGAGTCGTGACATTCTGGGCATCTCCAGCCTTTATATACAGACGCCCGACCCAATAATTACCAGATTTGGGCTCGAGATACAGCACCGGCTTCATGAACGCCCAGCCCACGCCCGCAACGTTCAGCACACGAAGCTTGCATTGCTCGCTGACTTTCCCGTTGTAGCCGAGGAACGAAGGTTCCGCATCTTCGCAGTGCAGATCGACCTTGATGGTTCCATATCCTGGATCGCTATACTCGCCGATGTGGTCGGAGATGGGTAGCGTCGGGAGGAGAGGCGGCTCTGGTACTGATGGGTAAATGTAATCGCCGCAGTTCTCGAGGTATTTCAGTTGGGCCTTTTTCTGCGACTTGTACCTGTTCAAGTGTCAGTGTCTCCCTCCACTGCCCATGCAATCTGCTTACTGCTTGTTAAGGTCAAGCCGTTTCTCCTTCGGCACACCAAAGTGCTCATACAGAAGATGATGAGCAATCAGTTCGATAGCAGGAGACTCGGTGTTCGACATGACTGTAACGGCGACCTTCTTCGACGGGATCATAATCATGATTGACACATACTGGTTGACCTGCCCAGAGTGAAAGTACGCTCTCTCACCCTCAAACACCGCCTGATTCCACCCGAAAGCGTACGTCACCGGCCCGACGAACGGAGGCTTCGACATGGACGAGAAGCTCCTCGGCGTCTTCACCTCCCTGTGACCATCCTTAGACAGCGGCGCGTCCTCATTCATCATGACACGGAGGTACTTGGCGTAGTCAAGCACGTTCGAAATAATCGACCCGGCGCCCTCTTCAGCAGAGAACGGCTCATGCGGCAACTGCAAATGCCTCCCCTGCACAGGATCGTAAACATACTCATTCGCAAGCACCAGCCCACTCTCCTCCGCATCCCTTAGCGAAAAGTACGTCTCCCCCATCCCCATCGGCTCCCACAGCCTCTCTCTCAGAAAATTCCCCAGCCACTGCCCGGTAAGCGTCTCAATGAGATACCCCATCACGCCAAACATCTTGTTGCAGTACTGATACCTCGCACGCGGCTCCGCAGACATGGGCAAATTCCGCAGATTCCGCACCATCTCGCGCGCCGTCGTCGCCGAGGACGCGAGGTCGTGGCGCGGGTAGCCCGTCCGATGACTCAGTGCGTCCTCGAGCGTGACGTGCGCCGTCGCCCACGCGTCGCTGAGGACGAAGTCGTCGAGCACGCTGGACACGGGCGTCGTCCAGGTGAGGCTGGTGGAGTTGTCGACGAGGAGGGAGAGGCCGGCGGCTGTAAAGGACTTGGTGGTGCTGCCGGTGTAGAAGAGCGTGTGCGGGGTGGCTGGGGTTGAGTTGAGGACGGCGTAGCCGTAGCCCTTGTGGTGTGTTAGTTGATACTCTCATGGGCGGACGGAGTTGGTGTAGACGCCGGCGCCGTGAATGCGGGCCTGGCGCCGATCGCCGGGCGGCGATGACCCGCCGACGGGTCCGTGATGACGGGCATTGGGAATGAGATACCTTGGCCCACGTCTTGTCTCCATCCACAACGGCCACTGAAAGACCGGGCACGTGCCATTCTTCCATCAAGCCTTCGATGTGAGCGCCGATGTCTGAGGAGAGCACGGAGGGATCAGCGTCAGACGGTTGTAAGGGCTGCTGTGCCGAATCCTGCCCGACTGCTCGACCAGCGGCTGCAAGATCCAATAAAGCCAGAAACGCCCTCATCTTCAATTACGGTCAGAAGTCTATATCTACCAGTAAGTTGGCGATGGTTTAAGGATGAGGGGTTAGTTGACACTTGGATTTCCTGTAAGCTGAGAGTTTGAACGTTGGATGACGTTGCCGCACAATGATCCCTGTCTCAGAACATTAGGTCGTGCTGATTACGGCGCCGCATCGGCCATCTGTGCCGCACGAATGGAAAAGCGCTGCATCTTGACAGGACTGTTTACATTGGTCCATATGAGGAAGGTCGTTGCGCCGATTACACGACGACAGATGAGAACGGTTAACAACGCAAATGAACCGCAAAGGTAGTATGGATCCAGACTGACACTTGTATGCCAATGCATTTGCTGAATGTTGGATAATGGACAGCTCTTCGACAATAAAGATGGCGAGAATTCGATAAAGAACACAATTCATTGTCCATTAGCATCCAAGGATTTCAGTAGACTCGAGATGGCTCTGGCAGCTGTCGGAAGAAAGAATCTTGAATTGTCCTTTACCCATTGAGGTGTCCATCGAAGCTTTTTGTTCTTTCTCCTGTGTTCTAGGTTTCTCGCTGCACAGGGATGAGTTCTTTTGTTGCCTGATCTCAAAGAAGCCAATGGGCTCAAGCATATTTTTTAGAATACGCGCTTTGTTCTCGTAAAGTTGAAATAGTTCCAGCTTTTGCCCAATATCAGATCTTGAGATAAACACAGTTTTCTAACAAATCCATGAAGCAAAAGGTTGAGCCGTTGTTTGCGACTTGAAATATCCTCAACACAAAGTTTTTCCTGGTTCAAACGCCCCATCTCCGATGAACGTCCTCAATATGTCTGCATTCTCCGTCACCGACGATCAGGAAATGGCCAACCTGCTTGTCCTCGCCGCAGCCACCAATGAACAATTCCAGTGGGCCCACGAGGCGGCCACAGCAGAAACCTCTCTGGGCCTCTCGGGCAACAGTCTGACCAACCCGAGCGGCTGCGAAACCACCGTATCGCATCTCGACATGTACCATCAAGACCTTGAAAGTGGTAGTCCGAACGCGCCAAACGGACATGGGCCCCACCCGAGACGAGAATCTCTGCCCGATACTCTTTTCCTGGATGATCTCCTTTGTATCGAGAGCAATACTCCAACGTCCTTCCAACTTACCTTGGCCCTCGAGAACCTTGGTTGAGAGAACGCCACAAAACCCGTTCGGCATGGAGGTATTAAGCTTTTCGGGAATGTGCAGGATCCATATTAAACCGTTCAACGGCGCAGATATTTGTGAGCCGCATCACTCAGGGTTGGAAGCCCCCTGCGAAAAGCCGCATACAAGCTTCAATATTGGTACGGATCGGGCACATTCCAATCTCACCCAACGATGCGGCGGCTACAAATCTGTCCAACATATTTTCACCAGAAGGATGGCCGCCTATCTATACTGGCAACATTGGCCATAGAGGACCTCAGAGACGATTACTGGTGATGACGATGGCCACAGGGTATGGCAGCGCCTAGGGATGGACTGTCAAGAAGACAAAGTACAGTAGACAAGGGAAGAAAAGCCAAAAAGGTCATAATAATGATGCATTCGTTCATCCAACCGGATTGTAGTGTATACCGCACATATCGTCCCCAAGCACCCTGGGGGGGAAACCTCAATATTCTTGAGCGTCAAACCGCCACTCGACTGAAGAATTGCCACCCAATGCTTTCTCCGAACTTAGACCACAACCGTTGCGGACAATGCAGGTTTTAATAAATAGAGAGATGTTCTTCCCCTCGCGTTCTTCTCGCTTTTCTTCCTTCTCATCATCAGCAGTTAGCAACCAGCTTACTGACATCAACGCTAGCAACTCTAACATCACCAGGTTTTCACGAACAAATCTTGCCATCTAAAACCATCTTATCACATCATCCATTCTAGTCACACACCAAGATGCACTCCACCAAGTTCCTGGCAGCCATCCTGGCTGTAGCCGGCACGGGTTTGGCCATGCCCCTGGAGGCACCTATCGCCACTCCGGCTTCCCCTTCCGCCGTCCCGGCCGTGGAGGGTCTTAAGGAGTCGTGGGTTGGCTGTGACAACGGTCATTGCCCCCCCGAGGACCCCAGCCCCTGGTCGAAGAAGGCCAAGGAGCGTTGGGCAGCGAAGAAGGCCAAGATGCCAAAGAAGACCTCGAAGCCCAAGGACCTCAGCCCCGAGGAGTTCGAGAAAGAGGTTGATGAGTTTTGGGCCGAGAAGATTCAGAAGTTTAAGGAGCGTTTAGCAGCGAAGAAGGCTAATACGCCGGAGAGCCCTCCCAAGCCTGCGGATTCTCCGTGCAACAAGGACAAGAGAGACGCGGCTGTCGACGCCGCCTGCGCAACCGACGATGACGGCTTCAGAAAGCTGTCGCCGGAGGCCATCAGCGCCATCCTCAACGCCGCCCCGGGGCCCGTCGTGGCCAAGTCAATGACCGCCGCCGCAGACAAGATTCTGCCCAACGAGGCCGTCGAGAAGATCCGCGGCCGTCCTGGCCCCGGCGTCGTCGCCCCTACCGCAGCCTTCTCGGGTCCTCTCAAGCTGACCAAGAGGCCCGCCCGCACGTCCTCGGCCACCGGTACTCCTACCGCGTCCTCGGCCACTGGTACCTCTACCGCGTCCTCGGCTGCCGGTATCCCTACCACGCCCTCAGCTACCGGTAGCTCTACCGCCGCTACGGCGACCGGCACGACCACTCCCAAGGTGACCTCCGTCGGGGTGACCGGGACGCCCGCCCGCCCATCCGCCACCGGTACGGCGACCGGCACCACCGCCCCCACAAAGGCCCACCTCGCGGCCCGGGACTACCCCTCCAACTTCGCGGACCTCGTCCGCGTCGGGCCCCAGATCGAGAAGAAGACGGCTTTGTCGAAGCGTGGTCGGATCACTCGGATCCCAGTGTTGGATGCTGCTACCCGCGAGCGTCTCATTAGAGAGGGCGAGATCATTGTCCTCACGGGAAAGCGCAAGCCGGGCACCAAGCCTAAGCATCATCAGTCTTGAGTCCTCCGCTGACGAGGATGAATGGGTGAGGACAAATGGCGAGTTAATGGAAAGACGGAATGTAGGAGCACATGGCCCTTAAAGAAATTGAGAAAAAGAGGCCAGACATGTGGGTTCCCTGCCTTTATTAGAATGCATGGTTAGGGAAGCAGTGTATCACCAATACGGTGAATAAGTTTAGATAGGAAGTGGAAACTATTTCTTTCCGCACACGTGTCGCTCTCGAGTCCCGGGTATCATGTGCCGTATCTTCATGGGCCGTAAAGGTTTTCAATATTTCATGTTGACGCAAAGCATCCCCCCACCTACCGAACGCCACCCCCGAAATAAGCAAGACGAGAGCATCGCCTCACTAACCCGTGTGAGCTCTTCCCCAACCCTCACCTCTCACGAACCCCTCTCGTACCACAAAACCTGTAAACCCAATGATGGCCATCCAACCCACAACCTCCTTCCCCAAGCTGTGCTTCCTTGCCCGTCCCTAACACATTCTCCCACTTCCCATCAACTAATAAAAAAAAGAAAAAGGAAAGGAAAGAAAGACCAGAAAAATAAATGAACTGTTATTATTGGTATTGTTGATGTTATCCCTGATGAGTCGAGAGAGAGAGAAAGTACGCTAAGAATCCATTCTTTTTCTTGTTGCGACTGGCCTTGTGGTTCTAATGCACACAGAGTTAGGGATAGGTACTGCTACCAGCCACAGGTCAAGCCTTGCAAAGACTGGAACAGCTATCTTGATTGTAAAGGAGAGTGAGAAGGCATATGGAGACTCCTTGACGGGAGCTTCATGCTATGATGATTGAGGGAGGGGCTTGGGCTTGGGCTTGGGCTTGGGCTTGAATGGGAAGTTGCAAGACGCAGAAAAACAAAAAGAAAAAAAAGATTGATTGAAAGGTAAGTGTGGAACGACTGTGTAGCGGAATGAAGTATGTGAGGTTGTCTTTGGGAATGTCTGGCTAGGAACGCGGAGAACACGAGGCAATGACAAACTTGGCAGATCACCTACAAGACACACAGAATCGAAGTTTAAGCAAATCAATGTTCAATTGAAAGCAAGTACGACTGAAATGATACCTCTCCTGCTTGGGATCTGAAGCTGAGAAAACGCCGCGACCAAGTACCATGAGCATCGCCACGTCCACACTTTTCCAGTGCAGCTAACATGAAGGCTACTTTTCCATCCGCAAAATGAGGTAACCTAACGCCTGTTGGGGTATTTCCGCTCCGAACGCCTCAAAGCATACGAAGGAGCACGCAGGCGCTCCCGTACGCCAAGAAGCAAAAGAATATGATTGCTGGCGTTGCTCCTGCTGGTCCTCCTCCCATCCTTTTAGCCCCCTTCATCTCTGGTCCTCGTCCGTCTCCGATAATTTCGTCGTCATCGTCTCGGATCTTCGTCCGTCTTCGTCCGTCTCCGTCTCCGTCTCCGTCCCTCGTCATCCATTGAGCAGAATGGCAGATCTTTACACTGCTTTGGTCTTAACGTGAGCCTCGTGGGCGCCTGCTTGAAACTCATCCTGCAGTTGCGAAGCGGCGAGATCGTCGTCATCGGCAAATGGATCAACGTCTTCGAAAACCGAGGAGACCTCGGCTGCAGGAGACTTGGCGAACCACCGAGATGTGCCCTGCAAGATGGGATACATTTCAGCCCGAAGAAGGCGCTCCGCTCTTGGGAGACCAGCTGGTTGGATGCTGGAGTCGACCCCGACTAGGACAGAAAGGTAGTCACGAGCGAGGAGGTTGTAAATCTCCTGAACCTGGACCGCCATATCATTTTCGACCCGTTTGCATAGCGCCTTGAGTTGCTCTTTGACGCTATCTGTGGAGCGACGGAACATTGTATGACGGGCGTTCTCAACGTGGTTGATCATGTGCGACTTCATGCGAGCGTACGAACCGGTGCCTGCCGAAAGGTTAGCTTACTACCCGTTGACCGAACTAGATAAACTTACCACACTCTGCGACACACAAGTCATATCCCGGCTGCATCTCCTCGGTGATAACGGGATGGAAGCCTCTGCTGGCCTCACGCTGCAGTTCCTGGACAACAATGCGGAGCAAACCTGGAATTTCCTTGAGCCGGGCTGTGTGGGTCCGAAGTTGCTGGCTCAACATGTTGATTCCCGCGTAGTTGGTGCCGCGCTGCTGAGAACGGGCGATGGCTCCACGGTGGAAGGTGTCCAAGAGCAGGCGGGCACTCATAGCGAAACCTTCAAGCGCTTGGGGAAGGCGGCGTTGGAAAGCACGCTCCCATCCAGTGGCAAGCTGCTTGCTAATCGGCTCGAAAAGCTCGGCATTGAAGTCACGAGGACCAGATGCACCAGCATAGACACCGGATCGGCGGCACGTGGCCTTGTAGGTTGCCCAGAACATGCCACCCTCGCTTCGGTGTGCGCCCCAGGAGGTGGCAGTTGGGACGGCTGCGGCGGACGCTGATGGGATGGTAAGATCAAAATAGTCGTATATGCTTTCAGCCAGAGCCTCCTTTATCGAGGTAAGGCATTCATCGACGGCCTTCTTAAAGTCCTGCATACAGTCAGCACTGAGCAAGACCCGGCAAGACAGAAGGGTCAGGGAACTTACTCTATCCAACGAAGCCAATTGCCGACGGATGTGACCTTCCTCGTTTCTCTTGTCTTGGTCGCTCATGTGGGACAGGGAGCCATCGTTGGCAGCCCACATCCTCATGGAGTTCAGGAGCTGGCTCAAGTCGTTGAGGAAACGACGGCAAGTGGCCGCACGGCCAGCTTCTGTGAGCTTCTTGGCATGCTGTTGCAACTGGGGTACCTCGGTTTCGTCGGCGTTGCGGAAGCCTTCATCGTTGAAATCGTCCTTCTGTAGGCGACCTCTCATCTTCTGGTACGCGCGACTGCTGACACAGAATACGGGCAGGTTGCGAGCGACCTCATCATAGTCTCTGATATCCTCATCCGGGTTGAATGTCTCTTCGTTTTCCTCGATGGCAGCTTCTTGGTCCAGTCTGCAGTAGTTAGTAACGAGTTTATAGTGCGATATTGGGGGACGAGGACAGGAAAGGAGGGTAGGAGTGGAGGGCGGGGACGGCGAAGAGAGGCGGGGACGGCGGAGAGAGGCGGGGACGGCGGAGAGAGGCGGGGACGGCGAAAAGAGAAACGAGGACGAAGAAGAGAGACGAGGACGAAGAAGACAGACGAGGACGAAGAAGAGAGACGAGGACGAAGAAGAGAGACGAGGACGGAGAAGAGAGAGGACGGAGAAAAGAGAGGACGGTGAAAAGAGAGGACGGAGAACGAAGCAGAGAGACGAGGACGAGGGATGAGAACTGGGGTCGGAAACGAGACGATGAGAGACAAGGAAGGCAAACGAGGATGGGAAACGAGGATGGGAAACGAGGATGGGAAACGAGGATGGGAAACGAGGATGGGAAACGAGGATGGGAAACGAGGATGGTAAACGAGGGTGGGAAACGAGGACATGGGACGAAGCCGGTGGACGAAGCCGGTGGACGAAGCCGGGGGACGAAGACGGGGGACGAAGACGGGGGACGAAGCCGGGGGACGAAGCCGGGGGACGAAGACGGGGGACGAAGACGGGGGACGAAGACGGGGGACGAAGACGGGGGACGAAGACGGGGGACGAAGCCGGGGGACGAAGACGGGGGACGAAGACGGGGGACGAAGACGGGGGACGAAGCCGGGGGACGAAGACGGGGGACGAAGACAGGGGACGAAGACGGGGGACGAAGACGGGGGACGAAGACGGGGGACGAAGACGGGAGAAGGGGAGGAGGGCAAAAACCTACTCTTTAATACCCATGGCGAAATCGCGCTGAATAGCGCCTTTCGAATATTCGTTCCTGCCCTGGATACAAACAGCTTTCACGCCAGCCAGGAGACGACCCTCTTCGGCTTGAAGAGGCTTCATCGCCTGTCGAAGATCGGATAATTTCTGGTCCACCTCCTTTCGCAGCTGGCGAACCTCCTTGCGCTGGGCTTTGAGGCCCGAGAGCCTCTCCTGAATCGCCTCTTCCGTTAGGGGCTGGCGTTCGCCATCGCTGTCGCCATCGTCGTCGTCGTCGTCCGGCTGGTTCTCCTTATCACTAATCGAATCGTCCGAATACGACTCGTCGTCGCTATCAGCAGACATGCGGTTCTTGCGGCTTCTGGAGGAGGTCGCACCGCGTTTGCGTTTCCTGCTGTGGGTGGTGGGTGCGTAGACGGTCTTGCCGTCAGCGTGGCGCTGCGATAGGTCGTCCCACTTTTCCCACTGACTGTCGAGCTGCTCGAGCCTATCGAGGAGATCTGCCTTCTCGTCCTTGCCGTCCATGAGTTGTTTCTTGAGGATACGCAACTGGTCGCGCAGGTCGTCAATCTTGGCCCACGAGTCGGCGACGTCTGCTTCAATGTCGAGACTCTCGGCGGCCTCCGTCACCGAAATATCGTCCGTCTTGGAGCAGATGAAGGTCACAGCAGAGTATATACCGTCGTACTTCAGCTGGCGCTTGAAAGAGTCGCCAAGAAGAGACTTGGCGGTCTTGTCGTCCACTGCGCGGTTGATGGGAGCGACAATCCAAAGACCACTGCATGCCTTCATGTATTGCTGGGCAACAGCAGCTCGGGCGGCGTTGGAGTCCTGTACACCGGGCAAGTCGACGATGATGGCGCCAGTGGACAGAGCGTTCGCCTTGGTGTAGATGCGGACAACCTTGATCAAGGGCCAATACTCCATGGGGACGTCCTTCTTGAGATGGTTGTTCTTCTCTTTGCTGTCGACGTAGCGTTGCATGCCGTTGTAGAGCTCCTTGGCGGTGGTTGACTTGAGCTTCTTGACACTGCCGAGCACACGTCTCACTTCGGACTCGTTGGCGAGTTTCTCGGGGCTGCTCTCGGCGATCATCTTGTTGGTCTTTGAGGGATAGACGGACTTGATCTTGGCGTAAGCGATACCAGCCTCCGTGTCAGGGTTGGTGCACTCGCGGGATACATTGCCATTGTCGTCAAAAATGTCTGTGTACAGCG